GTATATGTAGCAAGGTTCTTACCAATTGAACTTTGCTATTTATACATTGAGTTTTGACACGTTGTTTGACAATTGCATTGTATTCAAGTGTTAATTGGATGAAAAAACTGTTCGAAAGTTAAACTGTCCAACAGTGTAGTGACACGTGGTAAAGTGTAAATTAAAGTGTACGCCATAGTGTACATGTCACGAGGTTCTTATCGATTGAACTTTGCTATTTGTACGCTGATTTTCAACACGTTGTTTGACACTTGAATTGTTGTCAAGGGTCCATTGGATGGGAAACCTGTTTGAAATTTAAACTGTCCAATAAGGTAATATCACATGACAAAATGTAAACTAAAGTGTACACTACAATGTACATGTAGCAGGGTTCTTACTGAATGAAGTTAGCTATTTGTATATTGATTTTTGACACGTTGTTTAACACTTACATTGTTGTCAAGTGTCAATTAGATGGGAAAGCTGCTTGAAATTTAAATTGTCCAACAAGGTAATGCCATGTGGCAAAGTGTAAACTAAAGTGTATGCCACAGTGTACATGTAGTAAGGTCCTTAGCGATTGAACTTTGCTATTTGTACACTGATTTTCGACCCATTGTTTAAAACATGCATTACTGTAACTTGTCAATTGGATGAGAGAACTATTTAAAATTTAAACTATCTAATAGGGTAATGTCACCTGACAAAGTGTGGACCATAGAGTATATGTAGCAAGGTTCTTACCAATTGAACTTTGCTATTTGTACATTGATTTTTGACACGTTATTTGACACTTGCATTATTGTCAAGTGTCAATTGGATGGGAAAATTATTGGAAATTTAATCTGTCCAGTAGGGTAATGTCACGTGGCAATGTGTAAACTAAATTGTACAGCATAGTGTACCTGAAGCAGGGTTCCTACCAATTGAACTTTGTTGTTTCTACACTGATTTTTGATGCGTTGTTTCACACTTGCATTATTGTCAAGTGTCAATTGGATGGAAAAATTGTTTGAAATTTAAACTGTTTGATCGGATAATGTCATGTGACAAAGTGTAAATTAAAGTGTACACCATAGTGTACATGTAACAAGGTTCTTACCGATTGAACTTTATTGTTTGTACACTGATTTTCGACATGTAGTTTGACACTTGCATTGTTGTCAAGTGTAAACTTGATGGGAAAGCTGTTTGAAATATAAACTGTCCAACAAGGTAATATCACGTGACAAAATGTAAACTAAAGTGTAAACCATAGTGTAAATGTGGCAAGGTTCTTACCGATTGAACTTTACTATTTGTACACTGATTTTTGACACGTTGTTTGACGCTTGCATTGTTGTCAAGTGTCAATTAGATGGCAAAGCTATTTGAAATTTAAACTGTCCAACAGAGTAATGTCACGTGGCAAAGTGTAAACTAAAGTATACACCACAGTGTACATGTATCAAGGTCCTTACCGATTGAACTTTACCATTTGTACACTGATTTTCGACCCGTTGTTTAAAACGTGCATTGTTGTCAAGTATCAATTGGATGGGAAAACTATTTGAAATTTAATTTGTCCAACCGGCTAACGTTACGTGGCAAAGTGTAAACTAAAGTGTACACCATAGTGTACATGTAGCAAGCTGCAATCTGCTCTAGTAACATAATGGCAGTTAAAGTGCCACGTAAACATTTTCAGATCACTGCAAAATGATTCCTTAACACTTAGATAAGCAAATGGAGCATATTTCATTAGCCTATGATGGTTATGGCTGTAACCATCTGCATCTCTCTTTTGCACTCTTTACATGTCTGTGACACCCAGAGGTCTAGTTTGAGCCAAGTGCACATGTTCATCTTATCTGAATTTTATGATGTAATTTGATTAAGTTTATTAAAAAGAAAATTCAGGAAACAAAAATTGAAATGAAGGCTGATGGAAAATTATGAATATCAGGATCCAGGTCATCAAGTTTTGACAAGACTAATTGGGGAGACTCGTGCTAAGGTATCTGTTTGTGGTTATGGAGCATTATATTTTATATTTCTTTATTTAATAGTTTTACATCGTCATTATTTGGTAGGAAACAATTAGAAAGTTCCTCTTCAATGGAGTTGACGAGCTTGGAAGCAAAACATTTCTCGACTACTTTCCAGAGTATGAGTGCGAGGATGGAACTATAAATCGGAAGCGCAGTGTAATTGGAAAATCATTTGAAAGTCGACCCTGGGATAGTAGAGGAGAATTTATTGGTGACAGTTATGGATAGACATCCTGCATTTTTTATATCCTCTTGTATTTGAATCACCTTCCTTCTTGCTGTCACCATAATCCTACTATCTAAATGTAAATCGCCTCGTCTGCACCAAACTCCTTTCTTCCTATATATCAAGGCAGCCATTACACTGAAGGAAATGCAGAAATCATGTGGAAGTCAGATCGAGAGAAAGATTACGTGATATTCTCGTTAGATATTCGAGTTCAGTTTCTCATCCCACTAACCATGACATTGCTTAAAAGTCAGCATGTCTTGCAAAAATATGGACCCCATTTCTTGTTTTTGTGATAGATTGGAAGTGTTAATGGTTAGAGCTTCCTATTTGTTAAAGAATAAAGATATTTAAAGATTGTCGTGAATGGTCCTAGATATTTTCCTCGTAGTTTGATTATCATTATTAGTAGGTTGGTTGCATAATCAGCATAGAACCTTTACTCGTTCAGTTATCTGTTACCCTTTCAATTCTCAGCTTGTTTCTGTTTGAAAGTTTTGGACACTATAGCTATCCAAGTTCTTGATTTCCTTTTTTTCTTTTATTTTGATTGCTATGCAAGACTTAGCCCTTGTTTGGTGTCCAAAGTTTTAAAAAAAATTTGCTATAGAATTATTTTCAATCACATTCACCCGATAAAATATTTTGCACATAAATTGTAAACTTTTTTCTATATTTTAACAGTAGATTCCCCTAAAATAGTATTGATTTTTTTTTTTAATTGAAATAATGGCACCAAATAGGGGCTTATTTATGGCATGGAATTTAATTATTTTGATAGTTTTTAATTCCCACGGGGCTACAAGAATCAGGCAGGCCTCCCATTCTTTAAACAGATACAGACAATTTCACTGGGTTTTGTGGAGTCCAACATCACTAAAGAAAAAGCATGGTTTCATTAAGAGGTTTACAAAGATGATTCGATAGAACGGAGTTCTGTCCATTTCCCGATTTCCGAGTACCAAACATGCACCAAAACTACAACATAACCAAGAAATCTCTAATATCTGAACCAACAAGGCAGTGGCTTACAGTGAATGGAATGCTTTCTTAGTTAATAATCTTTTGATAGTAATGCCAAACATTAGGCAAGATCATGTCCCCATATATAAGCAATTATCAATAAGCTGGTACAAAATGAGCAAACTGGAAGTTCTCAAGGGCATTTTGGTCCACCGCTCTTGGTTTTCCAGTTATTGTAGCAAGGGCAAACTTGCTTGTTGCCATATGTCCCAGGAGGCACGCACAGACACTTTGCACAGCATTTTTGACAGAAAAACATGCATGGCTTCTTGAATGAAGTTTTTGAGCATCTACCAGTGCATCTAGGTGCACATTCTGCATAAAAAAATGGAGCTTTATTTAGCATGAGGGTAAAATTCACTGAAGTCGAACACATAAGAAATTTCATCTAGATCTTCGATTTTTTTTTTAAAAAAAAAAATTTTCCGTCAAAAGTGGTCCAAAGTTAGCTATTTAGAACTTCATTAGAGCTGAGACTGTGTCCTAATGACATTGTACTGTTGCTCAGCTTAGTTCAGCTTGATTCTTTTAGTTTAATGTTTGATTGAGTCGAGTACTATGTACTTAAAATGCCCTTAATTTTAGCAACACTGATAATATTATGAACGGTAACCCACCTTGAGGCTGAAGGCTCCCCTGAGTAGTGCCATGCTGCAGTCGAAACAGTAAATGCAATATTAGCCAAAAGGAGAAGAAAAATAATTAAAAGCAAAACTTTATTTTTTAGCTGCACAAAAGAAAGGCAAAGAAGTGTGTTTTTATATGGAGCATCTGGTCTTACCATTTGGCCGTTTCCCTGTGGTTCAAGCTGAGAAGCTGGTAGCAAGGTGCTAGAAGCCTACAAAATTTGATTCAAGGCATGTAAAATATGTGCAAGAGATAAGATACTGAAATCATTTTCGGTACATTGAACTAGATAAAATCAAGGAATATCATAAAGTTGTACAAAAATATGATATTATTCCGTCTAGTCAACAACGTAGTTACTTAGAGCATGTGAGTGCTCTACTAGTTAATTTGTGTATTACCTGATTGTGGGCTAGAATAGCAACCATGAAGAATATTAGACAGAACAAGAAGGTTAGTTTCTTTGCCATTGCTTGGAAAGTATACGGGCCTTGAAGCAAATTGAAATAGAAAGAGAGTGAGGGATCAAGTGAATGAATTTGTGAAGAAAAGCGGCAGCATTTATAGAGAGGGTTGTGTGTTTTTTAGTGCTCAATTAGGTAGGACACAACAGTATCAGAATGAGACATAAAGCAACATTTGGCCCTCGGATATGACACGCATGCCCTTATCCCAAGTCCTTAGGCCTTTCTGACACTCGTTACGTTACATACCAAATTCATTAGGTTAAGTTTTTGGATGATATAGTTCAATTAGAAGTATAAATTAAGATGGCTGACTCAAGACGTGGGCCCCTATAGCCATGTCTGGATAGTCTGACACATTTTATTACCTCTTGTTTCAATAAATATAGCTCTTTTTAAAAAAGGATGTAACCTATAGCATTTGGAGCCTTTTTCGATATAAACCGTTATAAGACGGAAGTAGAGCTAAGCACCAAACGAAACCTTTTTTTATAGTAGACAAAGACTTTGAATTGAAGTCCTATCTTTCCCTAATTATAAAAATTGTATACATTTTAACTCTTTGATGAAAAATAAATGTGATATATAAGGGAGAGCGTTTAAAGATGTGTAATCTAATAAAATAAGTCTTGAATGTGATGTTTTCACGGGTAGTAATCTCTAGTGTAAAGATTTTTACAAAAGCTTTTGTTTGGGGCAAATAAAAATTGGTCAGACTTGAGTGGTCTTGTAATTTTTATTCTCTCGTTGTTGAAACCCCAATTGGTTTTGCTAAATAGATACTAAAGGCCTAGCTTCAAATGATATATGGTGAGAAATTACATCAAGTATTTTCTTTTTCTTGTTCCATTTTTTTTTTCCAATTAGGATGTCATGAAAATCTAGAAAAAACGCTTTTCCTTAAAAGTGTTCTTGCGAATAGTGAAAAATCAAACACTGAAAGTCGATTCGGTTGCTGATTAGCATAGTAGAATTAAAGGGATGGCAAGAAGACTTTCTTATGCTTTCTCGACAGGGATAGAGTTGATATATGGTGAGACTGAATTAGTTTCAAATTTTGAAGATTTAGAAAGATGAGTTGAATGTCAAGTTTGACATTGTACTTACGCAATTCAAGTTTGTTCACTATAACATGAGTTACATGACAAAGGATTTAATGGTACCACATCGGCAATTTATGCAGGATTTGTAATTGCCTTGATATCATCCATGTGCAATTAAAACGTGAAGGTGACGGGAAGGCCATCAACATGTGCAATCACATGCCTCTCTTGGTACATAGGGTCACCTTTCAAGTACCCCACCTCCACTCTATAACATGTTATTTCAAACTGACAAGATATCTGATTTTAAGTCTCCGATTATCAACACGTCCAGGGGGTTGTCACCCAAGAATAGCTCTGAAATTTTTGCACTCACATGTCGTGTTTGATGAAAAATATAAATCTTGCTTGTACGCATTGAGTCGTGATGAACATATAATTTAAATGAATAAATATGTTTTGTCTGTAAATAGATAAAACTTTTAGATGAATTGATTCGATCACCAACCAATGAGCGAAAGAGTAACTAAAGGCAATGAGAAGGAGGTGGACGAATGTGCAGCAGCCAAGTGTTCCACCATTTCAAATAGGCCTTTTAGAGAAATTATTTGCAAATTGAGGCCGCATTTGATGATAAGAGTTGGACCTTTTTCTGCTTTTTGTCCTTGTGGTGGGAGTTTAGGGCCTTCTTATCAATCCATTTTCTTCTCCCCACCACGAGTTGATGCTCACGCTTGCACGTGGCTTGTTTTAAATATTGTACGCACGTTACTTGTGTAATTGTGAATTGTCCTATAGTTAATATCTTTCAAGGCTATGATAACTATATTAAGCAATAGAAGAAAGCTTTGGCCCATTTATGAGAAAGAATTTGTTATGCTTACGTGATAGGTCACATGGCTATCAGTTAAGCAAAATGTCATATAATACCAATTCTTTGAGGTGACAACCCAGCTATCATGGCCTTGACCCCTTTTTATTCTATGACATTGAGAGTACATCAAACGACTCGTTAAATACAACTTTTGAGATGACTTAACTCCTTGTAAACTTGTCACTTCTCTTATTTGAGACAATCAACATGTACCCAATCTTTTCCACATGGACGGACCTTTAGAGTTTAAGGCAATTAGAGTCAAGATTGATGTCTTGAGCCAGCTCTAGCCTGACACTTTGAGTCACGGCAATGTAATTAATGTGACATCTTTACAAGAGCAATTAGAGGTCGAATCCATCATTTTCTGTCTTGGACAACATATGGGGATTGCAGACTAATGATGTTTAGGATGCGACGTGATGATATGATTGAGTTTAACCAATGAGTCACTGCGATGAGACCACATGTAAGACATCCAGAGAGCATTGGTGCATTTTATTTGCCTATAAATGTTTACACTTGGTGACATTATAATTATAATAAAAAAAAATGATACATTCATTCTACAATATAAATCTCGACTCTTGTTTTTCTTTTCCTTTCATGTCACTCCTGCACTCAATATATTTTATCGTCCATTTCAATGATTTGGGTCTTGCAGAGTACAATCACGACCACCTTACAATTGTTTTGAGAGATTTCGATCTTGCGCTTTAAGGTGAGTATTCCAATTGCATAGGTTACTTGCATACAGAGGAGAGTAGAAGATGGGCACCGTTGGCGCATTAGGTCTCTTCTACATTCAAAACTCAACATAGTTTCATTTTCGAAAGGACGTATTTTCTTGAGAAGGGCCCTTAAAGAAGTTACTCTAAAGGTCTGTTTGATTGCGAAGATGAAATTTGGGTGGAAAGAAAATGAATTCTAGGGGATTGAGTTACCTAAAAATTGTTTTCCTGAAAATTGTAAATTATTGTGTTTGATTGGTATAATCTTCCACGTGAAAAATGTTGAAGTAAAAGTGTTTTTTGGTTTTCGTTTGGCTTTGTTTTATATGAAAATTTTCAATTTAAGGGATTTCCACTTCTACCATTGTTTATAGAATTTGTTTCCATTGCCAACCAAAAAAAAAAAAAATCATCTATATTTTGGTATTCGTTTGGTTTTGTTTTACATGAAAATTGTCAATTTCAAGGATATCCTCTTTTACAATTGTTCCTAGAATTTGTTCTCATTACCAGCAATTAAAAAATACAAAAAGCAAAAAAAAAAAAAAAAAAAAAAGGTTGAAAAC